TTAACAATAAAATATGGTTTTATAATGTGTGATAAAAATTGGTAAATATGTTAAAATTTGAAAATTTTATCACGATACTTTAAGCGTGGCATAAAACGATTTATATGGTTAATTTTGCTTTTCAGTTTTTCATTTTTTATAAACTTTCTGATACAAAGAAGAAAGCCAAAATTTCCCGATAAACCGTTACCATATGAATGGAAAGAGTTACCAAATGAATGGTTTAAATACTGCATATTTTTGTTTTTTTCTCTCCAGAATTATAATTTTTACTTGAAATGTCATTAACATACAATGCTGTAATTTTACAAATATTTTTTCTATTTCTTGATGGTATTAATAATATAATTAAATATAGTAAGTATATACAAATATTTAGAGTGAATAATTGAATGATGATATTTACAAGAAAATTAAAAAACTATACCAATACTGAATAATAAGTATTTATTAAACAACTTGACAAACTCTCTGCTCATTTACATAGCTTGGGGAAATAAACAAAAATTTTATATTTATTTCTATGGATCCCTTATATTTGCATAGTCTATAATGACAGACATGCTAAACCTTCTTTTTGTAGAGAATTCAAATTCAACTGATAGTACGCTGTTGACATAATTTGAATATGCCCCTCCCACTACGTGTAGAAAATATTTATTTTTATTCGATTTCTAAAAGTCGTGTCTTTCATCAAAGGTTTAAGAACAAATCACTTCCTCTTATAGAATATATACCTTAAGTCATACAGATACAATAATAAATAATTTAATATTATCACTTTCAATAAATAATTCGATAACAGTATTAGAAATAACTATATTAACAATAAATAATTGAGTAACGGTACTATTAATGAATTTTTCAACTAATTTAATGCACTAAAGTTCTCTTCTTATGACGTTAAAATACTTCGATTGGAAAAAGATTAAAATGTAATATTTATTTCAAAGGGTTCTTTATTTCCGCATAGTCTAGCAAGATACTTACTAGCTCTTCTTTTTGTAGAAAATTTGAATTCAACTGATAGTATGCTGTAGATACATTTTAAATCTGCACCTCAAACTAGGCGCAGGGAAATATATATTTTTATTCAGTTTCTAAAAATGGAATTTTTAATCATGGGTTTGAGAACTAACATTTTCCTCTTTTATAGCCTTATTAGTATAGGAGTCATAATAAGGAACATTTAACCATTATTACTGGCAGTAAATTATTAACTATAGGTACACGCAATAAATAGTTATATTGCCAATGAATAATTAAGTCGAGATACTGTAAATAAATTTTTACTAACCAATTTAAAGTACTATAAAGCTCTTTTTGTTTCATTAAAGTAATTCTGCTAGAAAAATGTTAAAATAAAATTTTTATTTCAATTTTTTATTCGATTTCTCACCGTTAATTTTCATAATATCAGTTCTTATCAATCCTTAATCCTAGGTTTAAGAACAAATTTTTTAATTTTATCTAGAATGTCTTTAAGTGAAGTTTTTAAAATTAAAAGATCGCATTAAATGTTTTTAATTAAATTTAAATATTAATTAAATCTAAAATCTAAATTATATGAGTGCGTTGAAAAACTGTTTATTTACAGCAAAATCCCTGTAAACTTAAAACCTAAACCTTAAATACATTGAAAACTGTTCTTCTTTACTGAAAAAAAGGTATGGTCAAAACTACCACAATTTGGATAAAAATTACCATGTTTCAGAGAATATAGGAATACTAAACGCTTAGTAATTTATATCGAAGCCCTTTGCTATCGATTTTGGTAAAATTAACAATAAAATATATATTAATAATAAGTGATAAAATCTGGTAAAATGTGGTGTAATTTTATCAGTTTCTCAGTTTTCTCAGTTTTGTATGTTTTAATAAATATGTGATAATAATCACTAGAATTTTAAAATCCATAATTTTTTTCATCATATGACGATTTTTTTATATAATTTTATGTAATATCTATCTATCTATCTATCTATCTATATATATATATATATATAATCTTGCAATAAATAATTAGATGAAGGTATTAACAATGAATAATTAAGTAGCGATACTATCAATAAATATTAGCAAACCAACTTAATGAACTATAGATGCTCTTCTTAGATCATTAAAATAATTCAGCTGGGAGAATGTTGAAAGTAATATTTATTTCAATGGGCCCTTTATATTTGCATAGTCTAGCAACATACGTGTTAGCTCTTCTTTTTGTAGCAAATTTGAATTCAACTGATAGTACGCTGTAGACAGAATTTAAATATACACCTCCCACTACACGGAGGAAATATTTATTTTTATTCGGTTTTCTGAAAGTAATGTCTTTAATCTTAGGTTTTAGAACAAATCCTTCCCTCTTCAATGAAATGTATTGATTCGGAATCTGTCTAAGAATAAATTCTCTTTAAGCCTTTCTTATTCGAAAGGGAGAAGATTTGTTTTTACTTTTAATAATATGCAATTCTTTTGTTACGGGTTGAAGGAATCGAAAGGGAGAAACACGGAACTTTTGCTGATGTGAGTTTTCTAAAATGAGATTGAGATTTGTTTGAAAAAAAAAAGTAATTGACTGTTTTTTACCAGCGAATGAAACCCAATAGTTTTCGCTTTCAAAAATCAAATTTTTCTTCTTTTTTTTCAATTTTTCATTTTAAAGGATTTTGCTATGTTTTTATTGTTTTTCATTTTACTCACACATATTTCATTTGGAAGGTTAGCTTACTTTTGAAAACTGTCTTTTTTTCCGTAAAATATTTCATAACTTGATAATAAATTGCTTTTCCCTTTGTTTTAAAAGAAATGTTTGCTCTTTGTTAGCAGTTAGAAACATTTAATTTTATTTATGAAAAAAATAAATATGGATAGATTTTTTGCTTATGTAATTTAAATCAAGTATTATATTTTAGATTAAAGTTTTGTAATGTGTTGGAAAATTTGTAATTCAAATTTTCTGTTCTTAATATTTTTTTAAAAAATCTAATAAAAAATTCATTTCTTCAATTTTTCTCATTTTCTTGTGGATTTTTTCTTATGTCGTTCCTATTTAGACTCGATTTTAGCGTAAAATATTTTATTAAAATGAACAAATATGGCATAACTTTATAGATATACTCAAATTGTTTAAATAAACTGTAAGTTATTAGAAGATTACTACATGGATGGAAAAAGTGCTGATTCCGTTTGGCATTTTAAATTTAAAAGAAACACCAATTTAATTCCCATTTTGTATAATTTTATAGTGTTTATATATAAGGTAAAAAAGCATTCAAGTTTAAATATCAAATTTTATAATTTCAAATTTTATAAAAATAAATCTTATCAATATCTGAAGAAGCATTATTGATGTTAATCATAGTAAAAATTTTATGTTATATCCATTCTATATTAAGTAGCTATTGAAACTTTCAATCTTAGAAGATATTTTCGTACAGCTCTGGAAAAGCATCGGCGTATTAAGTGATTTGAGTTTTTAAACAGTTAACCTATTCAAACAGTTTATTCGTGTTTCAAGTGCATAAATATCAACAATGAAAAAATATATAGTCAGACTAAAACAGTGAACATCTTTAAGTTTAATACAATAAAACAGAAAAAAAACAATACTAAACATTCAAAACGAAAAAATAAACATACTTAAAATAAAAACAATACAATTCCATCAAATCATTATTCCATGAGTTTTTAAAGTGATTTATTTCAAATGTAGGGTTTCAACACATTAAATTATGAATTTCAATAAAAAATTTTAAATTATTTATTATCAGTTACTGAATTAAATTATAAATAATTATTAAAAACTACTTATTACTTGAAACTATTACAACGTATCATCAGTTTTGTGATGTATCGGGAAGAATATTTTTGATTAGATAAAATCAGTTCCAGTTTATTTAGTTTTCAATTTTAAGTACGTAAGTAAAAAGGTTTGTTAAAAGTCTTAAAACACTATTAAGAGAACCAAATTCTTTAAAAAATAAGCTTCATAATTAGGTTTTAGTGTACAAATATATGTTATTGTGATTATCGGGTATATTTATTATTCTACATCATTTTTTTGATCTTTGAAGTGAGCTAAACAAATTCCTGATAGAAATACGGTAAAAAGTTCTGGCACCATGAGTACTGATACTTTTTACCATGAAATTCAATTTTATTGCAGCCTTTTATACCGTAACTTTTTTAGTAATATTTATTTAACCACAGTGACTCAGTAAATATTATTGTTAAAATTATATGACAGCTGATTTTGATTTCGTATTCGCTGATTTTTATTTCGTTCGAGTGCCTGAACATTTTATAATTGAATGTTCAGGCTCTCGGGGTGCCAATATTTTTTACAGTAATATTATCACAAATGTTTTCAGTGTATCTATTTATGCAAAATAAATTAACTCAACTACTAAATGTTACGCCAATCAAGTTGCTGATTTGGTGCGCAATATTGTAGAAAATTCAAACTAAATACGCATTCTATTCAAATAGTAATAGTAAAAATTCAATGAATTCATTACTATACAACATTTCACACGATGATACCACATTTATGCAATGAGAAAAGTAAATACTATATTATCAACTGTAAAACTGTCATAGAATATTAAGCCCGAAATTTTAATGTAAAGTAGAAGAATAAAACAAAAAAAAACTGTTAAAAGATGCCTTTACTAAAGGAGGAATGAATATGTAGAGTGGAAAATAGATTCATACGAGATTCTTAGAATAAAATTTATGCTTCTAAGATTTGAATAAACCTAAGAAGAGTGATTCCTACTCATATCTCGTTAAATGTCATATCATAAAGCTGGACTTAATTGCCAAATGTAGCATGGATATATATTTCAAAGGTTTGCAAAGCATAAATTTGGAACTATGCTTTTAAAAAATTGCTGAAGATTTAGTTATTTCAAAAGATAGATAAAGATATTCATGTTTGCATGGATTTTGTAAATTCAATAAGTATAGTTGAGTTGGGCCAAATTCTCTTGGCGGAAGCAATGACTTGTGAAATTCCAAATGACAGTTATCTAACCTGGAATGAGGAAATCACGCCTATGAAGTGTCGAAGGGAAAGCCATTTGGAGCCTTCGATGCGGAAGAAGTCATTGATGAAACCTAAACACAAGTTACGAATTGGTGCTTGGAATGTAAGAACTATGTACCAATGTGGAAAAAGTAGACAGGTATCAATGGAAATGGATAGATACCAATTGGATATCTTGGGAATATCAGAACTTAGATGGACAGGTTTTGGCAAGATTAAAACTGGAAGTGAACAAATCATTTTGTACTCAGGAGCTGAAGAAAAGCACGAAAGAGGCGTGGCGCTAATCATTAATAAAGAAACAGCGAAGAGTCTTTTGGAATGGGAACCAATCAGTGAAAGAATTTTAAGAGCACGATTTTATTCAAAATATATTAAACTATCAATTATTCAAGTGTATGCACCAACGAATGATGCTGATGAGGAGGAAAAGGAGACATTTTATGATCAACTACAATGTGTTTTAAATCGAGTTCCAAAACATGACATGATAATTCTTATGGGAGACCTTAATGCTAAGGTTGGAAAACGGATTAGTGATGATGAAACCTCCATGGGAAACGAATCACCGGGTGAGAGGAACGAAAATGGAGAACTGTTTGTTTCCCTGTGCGAACTAAATAGTTTAAACATAGGTGGGAGTAGATTCAAGCATAGAGAGATACATAAATGTACATGGACCTCACCAGACGGAAGAACAAAGAATCAAATAGATCATATTGCAATTAATAACAAGTTCAGGAGCTCACTAAGAGACGTAAGAGCGATGAGAGGTGCCGACGTTGGATCAGATCACTACTTGATTCTTGCAATATTAAAACTAAAATTAAGAAAATCACCAAAGAAGACGGGACATAAAAGAATAAGCTATGACATTGCTAAGTTAAAAGCCAAAGAGTGCAGACAAGAATTTTCAATCGAGTTGAAAAACAGATTTGAGCTGTTAAAGGAAGAAGAAAATCATGGCAACACTAAGCAATCAGAAAATGAGGTAAAAGAAAAAGTTGAAGAGACTTGGGAACATATCAAAAACATTTATTGCGA